GGCTCCAAGTGCCGCTGCTCCGCATGTGCCGGCAAGGGCTGAGCCTGCCCTGCTCCGACCTGCGGCATCTCGGCGCCCGCACGGCCACAGCAGAGAGCCCGGGCAGCGCTGCCCCAGCCGCCCGCACGGAGGAGCACAGCGGGATGGGCTGGCTTGGCCTTTGGAAACTTGACTGGAATAGCTGTGCCGGTTGGGCATCAATTGCAGCTGATTAGCGTTTTGGGGACTCGGCGTGGAGGCTTTGTTTTGGGGCGCGTTTCTTGGGGGCTCTAATGGCACCTAAGAAATCACAGGAAAATGGGGTGAGCTGGGTAGGGAAGGAGGAAGTGCTGCTTTCCCTGTGGCACTGTTTGGCGGACATAGTCCCAGTGAGGTAGCAATGCCTAAGAAGTGGTCCTTTGAGCGACCCCATTGCAGCTGGATGGTTCCGAGGCTGACTGGGAGTTTGCAGCCATTTTTTGTTGTCTATTTCTCTTCTTTTTTCTTTTCTTGTACTTTTCCAGACCACTCTTCTCATCTCAACCCTTTATCTTTCTCATTCTACCCAGGCTAGAGCAGAGTGCCCCTTGTTTGCCATTCCTACTGATTTCCCTTGGTATTGTAAAGCCCTTGCAAGCTTTCCTGGCCAGGTAGCTATCTGCAGCAGAGGGAGGATTAGTGTGTTTGCAATACCCTCCCTTGTTTTGGAACACTGAGGCATTCTGTGTCCCTGAAGGGCTTTTATCCCTTACCACAATTCTTATCCCTTACTAGAAAATCGTTTGCAAACCAAATAATGCCCAGGGTTTTTTGCTTCTGTTTTTTTGTTATGTTTTTTTGTTTGGTTGGTTGGTTTTTTTTTCTTTTTTTTGAGATTGACTCTCAATGGACCAGGTGAAGGCAAATGAGTGGCAGATTTGAGAGAGGAAGCAAACTTGCAAATTTGTTGACATTCTTGGATCCTTCCTATTTAGTTAAATTGGGGAGTTTACCACTTCTGTCAACTCCTTGTGTTGAGTCGTGGGAAGTAATGCTTCCCTGGATTTAGGATTCTTAAATGCCAGAGTCTTGTTTGCCTCCCCAGCCAAGATGTTTTTGTGCTGCACGTGGCCGTGTGTCACAGGGCCCTTTGTGACACGGCGGCCGTTGCCGATGGGATGGAACAGGGCAGGGTGTCCAAGGCCCTCTGTGACACGCCGTGATCTTGGTGTTGGCGGCGCCGCGGCCACGCCAGAGTGCTCGGAGCACGCGTCTGGACAGGACGGGACAGAGCGGTGCTGTGAGGAGTCTCCTCGCAGCCAACTCGTTCGTCGCTGATCAGAAGCAATTCCGAGAGTTCTCTTTGCAGAGAGTTCCCTCGAGGCCAGACCACAGGAGTTGGTGACCCGGAGGTTTTTCCGAGGCAACCGCACTCCGTGTGGGAGTGGCCCTCGAGGCCAGGCCACAGGCCTTGGTGACCCGGAGCTTTTCTGGGCATCACCAGTGCCTGTGGAAGGTGCCCTTGAGGCCAGCCCACGGGACTTGGTCACCTGCAGTCCCTGTGGAAGGTGCCCTCAAGGCCAGCCCACGGGACTTGGAGACGCGGAGTTTATCCCAGGTGTCTCCAGTCCCTGTGGCAGGTGCCCTTGAGGCCGTTTGGTAAGATTTGTCTTCCAGGGTCTTTTCCAAGGCGTCTCTCGTGTGAGTTCCCTTGAGGCCAGAGTGTGGGATGGCGGGGAGACGCTTCAGCCTCTTCAGGCTGCTGAGGAGGAAGAAGACCAGGAGAGGCCCTGGGGTTGCCCCAGCACAGCAACCTGAGGAGCCCCTGCAGCAGGGTGAGTGCTGGAGCTGGGCCACAGGGCTGGTGGCTGCAGCCAACTCGGCCCCTTCCTGTCCCCTGTGGACATGCCCAGGAAAAGGAAAGGGAGAAGAGGGGCCAGGGCTGATCCCCCCACATCTCTGCTCCATCCACTGGGCATCCCAGGGCCGGCCTTGCCTGTGGAGCGCAGGGCTGGGCTGTGTTCCCTGGCCTGTCCTGCAGCCCCTCAGCTCTGACTGCACTCGCTCTTGGACAGAGCCAGGCCCGGAGCGGACAGAGCAGCAGGACCGTCCCCGTGGCCGCTTCCGCAGAGCAGTTCAGGTACCTGCAGCCATGCCCGCCTGGGCTGGGCCTGCTGTCCCTGCTCAGCCTGGCAGCGCTGGTGGAGCGCTCTGTCCGACTTTCCTCTCTTCCCTGCCCTTTCTTCTGCTGCAGAGGCTGCTGAAAATCATGGGCATTCGGCGCAGAACACCCAGGACCACCCCAGCTGAGCTCATGGCAGAGCCTGACACCAGGCCAGCTGAGCTCAAGGAGAGGCCTGAAGGCAGCACCGCGCCCATTGACCTGACGGCAACCTCTGACAGCGCTGTGACCGAGGACACGGCCAACCCTGACACTCCACTGGCCGATGTCCCTGCCAAGGCTGACACGGAACTGACTCGTTCCACAGCAGAGCCTGACACCGCTTTGGCTGATGAGAGAACCAGCTGTGACACCGCAGCGACTGATGTCATGGCCAAGGCTGACACGGTACCTCTTGAAGGCACCTCTTACTCTGACGTGGCACCGATGGACGGCACAGCAGAGCCTGACACCACATTGGCCGGTGACACAACAAGCTGTGACACTGCCGAGAGTCATGTCATGGCCAAGGCTGACATGGTGCCTATTGATGGCACCTCCCTCTCTGATATGAGACTGACGGACAGCACAGCAGAGCCTGACATCATTTGGACTGGTGACACAACGGGCTCTGACACCACAGCCGCTGATGTCATGGCCAAGGATGACTTGGTGCCTATTGATGGCACCTCACACTCTGACCTGGCACCAATGGACAGCCCAGCAGAGCCTGACACCATATTTGCTGGTGACAAAACAGGCTCTGACATGGACCTCGTGGCACAGGCTGACATCGCAGCGATGCCAACTGATGGCACATCAAGCTCTGCTGAGGCACCGGTGGATGGCACAGCAAACCCTGGGACTGCCTTGACTTATTTGACTGAAACAACAAGTGATCTCAAGGCAGAGGCTGCCACCATGACTGAAGACATGGGAAATGCTGACACCAAGCCCGCAGAGAGTGTGACTGAGGCTCCCAACCTGCCCTTTCTGGAGGGAGATGGTGTTTTCAATTTGCAGCACGTAAGTTTAAGTCCCCCAGTATTGTTGTGGCCTCTGAAGCAGGATCTGGTGGCCCCCTAAGGTTTTGAGGTTAGCAGAGTGTGGTGGGAAGGGAAGGCCTTCACTTGAGGGAAGCTGGGCAACCTGCTCACTGTGGTAGCTCTCCAACTCTCCCCACTGCCTCTCCAGGTGCCGGCCATCGTTTGGAACATCCACCATGACCTCACGTTCAACGTCACTCTGCAAAAACAAATGCACAGGCTCGCTGAGGCAAACCCACGTGACGTGGTGATGAGTCTGCTGCGCTGTGCCCCAGAGTGTGACAGGTACAGGGACCGGCTGCCTGGGAGGCTCTGCCATCACCAGCCCTTAGAATCCATCACCCTGTAGAGCCTGTCCCATGTGGTGTGGCAGAGAAA